GACTGTGAGGTATTATCATTCTTTCCTCCATTGCCCATTCCCACCAGACCACGTCTATTGAACTTGAGTCTCTGATGAAACTCATCCTGTTAATTACAGTGGGTGTGGTTAAAGGGTTGTCATGGTAACGATGGACTCACTTTAAATGGCGAACCATAAATAGATTCACCACCTGAAGAGAAGATAAAAAGTATTTGCACAAATAATTATTAATAATTAATACCTTCTCCTGTACCAGTGGGATCACCACCTTGAGCTACAAACTCTAGGAAGAGAGAGAGAGAGAGAGAGAGAGAGAGAGAGAGAGAGAGAGAGAGAGAGATAAAAATTACATGTACATGTAGGAAAGCAACGTAACATCAATAGGTCATTCTACTTAATTAATAATTATAACTCCACCCACTAATTAATAATAATTAATCCATTACCAAAAACGACTCTGTGGAATATGGTATCATTATAATAATCTTCTAAACACAATTGTATGAAGTTACGACAGGCCAGAGGAGCCTCTTTGGACCACAGTTCAATATCAATATCACCCAGTGTGGTCTTTAATAGTACCTGAGGGGAGGGGCCAGTAGTCACTAATACAGCTGCTGCTGGATTAACTACCTTTCCTTTAGTAGGGGGCTCTGTTATATATATGGAACTCATTTCTGGAGCAGTTGAGCTCAAATCACTGAAATCCGAGAAATCAGGATAAATCTCCGTATATCTACTCAGTATATTGAAATCACGTGTTTCGAAATTATTCTTGAAAATAACAATAATCATAGCAAATAAACAAAAAATACTATTAAGTCACACATACAAAAATAATGCATAATGCATTCAAAATATTAATACTATTATTAAAGGGTAATATCATAAAGTTATTTCAGTTTATCAGGTATTCTTTCAGCAGCTGCACGGTCTCCTGTTCCCTTCACAGCATCTATCAAAGTCTGCCATGTTCTACTAGTTACCTTATCTTCTCCTCTCAGCCATGCTCCTATAGTCTTCTTTAGTTTCTTATGTGCATCACCGCCACCATCTTCAATAACATCAAGTGTTGTTGGCTCTAGTAGGCCTAACTTCAGCCCCAAGTTATTCCATTCTGCTGAACCAAACATTGCTTCTTGTAACACTGTTAGCACTTTATCAAGATCCTCTATACCTGTATTAGCATTAAAAGATTATTATTGTTCATGTATCATGGTAGCCTCTTACCTAGCTGTCCAACTCCATCATTATCAGGATTAACAGTGGTACTGTATTGATGAGGCTGTGTTGGTAAAGTACCAGTAGCTATATGAGTCACTATACAATAAAATTAAGTAATGTATTTTCAATTATTGCATGATGTGGAGTGAATAAATTAAAATTTTGGCAACTGTTATTACTTAATACAAATAAAATTCATTTTTGGTGAATGCATGTCCATTTTGTGAGCTTACTGATAGTCAAGAACTTTTCAATATTATTAGTATTTTTTTCCACTGTCACAAAACGGTTCATAGCCACACCAGCCAAAACAACACCAACAGCCAAAAAAATTACAAACATGTAACAACCCCAATTCCTACTAAAAATTGAAGATTAGAGCATGTTATAGTGGAGCCTTACTTTGCAGGATTTTTTATGTAATTAGATTGGTAGTTTTGCACTTCTTTTGAGCAACTGCCTTCATTTGGTAGTGCATCATGTGGGGGAGTAGGCACTTGCACTGTATCTATAATTATAATAACAAGAAGGTACATTATCAATTATAAAAAATATCAAGAGTACCTAATTTTGCATTAGCATAATTTTATTAAATTTAAAGTTATGATTGATTTTAATTATAGTTTGGAAGTCAATCTCATATTCTATGTGCCATCATTCTTTTTATTATGTGTGCATTACTAACCTGAACTGGATGATTGAATTTGATAATCACTAAACCAACATCTATAGCTATCATCATCACCTTTCAGTACCTCACATTGGTCTTCACAGGGACACAAGGTAGAACAATTATCTTTCTGAACAATGCAAGTTTTTTGGAGGGGGCATTTGAAAGCAAAAACAAACTTATTATCTTTTTTAAGTTTGAGATCCTTGCTGCTTTCTTTGACAGCTTTTGAGACTATTTCACGAATTTTTGGACAAATGTCTCTACAACGACCACGAACACGTATTTCAAGATGTGTATAGCAATTGATGATATCTATGTGGTATTTTTTATAAACACAAAGTGACATTGCATTGTTATATCTGTAACAAGGATTCAACTTTAGAGGACTAAATTCTACTTCATCTTTTCTCTCCAAAAGGTGTACAATGGTTAAAGTAAATAATCCTTGAGGGATGGCTAGAGTTGTTTCATTGCTATCACCAATCTCCCATGCTATAAGAAGTGGTTGTATTTCTGTTGGTGGGTCATTGAGCTTGCCACAAGATGGTAATGCACACGGAAAGAAATATTTATTTTTCTTTTCTTTTTTATTTCCAGTAACAATTTGGAGGAGCCTTAGAAGTAGAAACTTGATCATATGACACGAGTTTTTCTTTTCTTTTACTTCAGCGATGATATGGAGGTGCTTTAGAAGATCAATCATGTGAAATGATTCAAAATCACTATTAAAAATTTTTTGTTTACCAATAATTTTTAAAAGATCTTCTTTAAAAAGGCCATATTTCACAAGATCCCATGTTATAGCTGGTGAAGGAGGTGGATTAGCAATAAATTGACGATTGTTATGGTCGACATATCTGATAGCTATTAGACGTGAAAGGATATCAAGAATTGGTTCAGGATCAACAAATATTATATTTGGTAAGACATCAGGATAGTAAAGAATAATAGTAACATTGTGTAAAAATTCCAGAGCTTTATTAATATCTGATTCAATAAGTTTGAGAGGTTTACCGAGTTCCATAACTTCTTCTTTTGTAAGGAAACTTTGATTCTTCTTCTTAGCTTCCAACTGCAGTGAAATCTCAAAAGTAAACAATCGAATTGGTAACTTTATTGTCATGGCAACTCTGCAATTTGAAACTGCAGTACAAAGCTTTACACTAGCTTCTTTTCTTTCCTTAGACTCAGCAGGGAGCAACGTATTAACTGGAAATATAACTGAGCCTCCATCTTCATTTTGCTTAATAAGATTGTTAAAACCTTCATTTATCAGCTTCTTATTCATATTATCAAGTGTACCTTTCTCTTTCAGCTTATCTATATGTGTTCCAAGTATAAGATAATGAGAGTGCTTAGATTCGTCAGACTCAGAGACAGAAACATAAGGAATTTCAATGGGATTCAACATAGCTCCAGAGCTAATTGTAGATTGTATAATATCCAGATTAGAATACTGCAGTTTTATATCAATAGACAACGTATGTTGATCAATACGATATTGAAACTCACACTTCTCATCAAGACCTTTGGTAAGATCAATGGTGATGATATTCAGTGCAGCTCCTCTTGCAAAAAGAGGTAACAACTCTCGATATGCTGGTTGACCACCGGAATCAATAAAATAAACCCAATTTGTGCTGAATTCTTGAAACTTTCCAGTTGCAATAGCATCAGCAATTTTTTTAATTACTTCCGTATCAGCCAGTTTTATTTTGATTGATTCAGCATTCTCAGTAGGTTTATCTATGGCTTCATCATTCTCGAGTTGCTCATTCTCGGTTGGTGCTGCTTCATTCTCAGTTGGTACTGGTTCATTCTCAGTTGGTGCTGCTTCATTCTCGGTTGGTGCTGCTTCATTTTTAGTTGGTGCTGCTTCATTCTCAGTTGGTACCAGTTCATTCTCGGTTGGTGCAGTTTCATTCTCGGTTGGTGCAGCTTCATTCTTGGTTGGTGCAGCTTCATTCTCGGTTGGTGCTGGCTCATTCTCAGTTGGTGCTGGTTCATTCTCGGTTGGTTTTTCCAGTGATTGTTCAGTTGAATGATTAGGTGCTTTTGTAGATATTTCTTCATCTTTCTTTTTTTTTTCAAAATGAAAAGCTAGTTTATTAAGTAAATCCTTAATTTCAACCCTTTCCCATTTCTTATTTTTATCATGATCAATGGATATTCTTGTTGCTTGAACAGCGCGACAAGCTATTGGTGTACTATCAGTGAGTTTCTCAGGTGGTGGCTCATTAAGTAGAAGGTGTTGTGAACACGTTTTACCAGCTCCAGGTGCACCATGCATATTGATACGAGTGATTTCTAGCTTAACTTCACCTTCTTTCAGCCATTTTTCTATTTCTAAAATTTAATGATATAAATCACATCATTTCACTTAGCATTTTTAATACTGTAGATTTTGTTTTTTTAATTTAAATAAATAAAAAAATTATCATATTTGCTTGAATAAATGCTTTGGACACTCATCGCTAATAATATCTTCTAACTATAGACCAGTTGGTGCTAAGTATATTCATAGAATTTTAAGTATATTCATTGTGATGCCGTAAATAAAGTAAAATTTTTCTTCCGCCATTTTGGAGTCCCACTTTCAATGGTTGTCTATGGAGCAATTGTGAAAAGAGCTTATTCTCCAAAAACTGCTGTATTTATTTGTCACAGCAATATTGCTACTGCTTACTGACCATCATCCAGTGTCTAGAGTTGGCTCATGGACTTTAATAAGTGCCAGTAGAAGATATAAAAGCAAAGATATTACTTTCTGCCATTCTACTCTTAGTAACTTAAGGCCTCCATACACTAGGCAACATGTTGCTGGCAACTTCTGTGGTCACTTTGATCTTGTGTCTAAGAATAGAATTCTGTTCTATTTTTGGAACAAATGATTACAAGATCAAAGTAACCACAGAAGTTGCTAGCAACATGTTGCCTAGTGTATGGAGGCCTTAAGACTCCAAAACAGGGTTGGGGCGAAGTACATTGGTACTTGTACTTAAGTGCACTTACTTAAGTACATATTTTGTAGCACTTGTACATATACTTAAGTCTTTATTAATTTTTATCAATATACTTGTACTTATACTTAAGTATTGGTCTATGTACTATGATGTACTTCATGTACTTATAAGTCTTTTAAGTACTTTAAAAGTCTTTTTAGCAGAGATTGTATAATATGTGTTTTATTACCACAGCTAGTGTGATTACATGTACTTTCAATGCTATATCAGTGTATCACAGAAAGCAAGTGCAAATTCCAGGATCACTACTTTGTCTTTAGCTGGGTAATTGGCCAGTCTCTTCACTTATTTCTAACTGTAACTGAACAAGAGCTCATGTTTTGAAGATTAGATGTAATAATAAATTGATTAAATAATATAATTAAATCGACTTTAAAAAGTACTTACACTTATACTCAAGTACTTTTGTCAAAAGCTATCATGTACTTGTACTTATACTTAAGTATTTTTTAAATGTACTTGGATTTTACTTAAGTACTTTTCAAAGTACTTCGCCCCAACCCTGGTCCAAAATGGTGGCAGAAAAATTTTACTTTATTTACGGTATCACAATGAATATACTCAAAATTCTATGAATATACTTAGCGCCAACTGGTCTATACACACAGGTCCTAAAAATATTTAACATTTAATTTTAGTTCATACAATTACTTCAATAAATGCCCAGGTGTTTAATCAAGCAAATATGGTACTAATAAAATCTTATTTCTTACTTTTTATATCAATTTCATTAGTTACAGTAGCAGTAGCAACAGTACCTATCATACACAAAAGAATATTAATTATGAGTTAGCTATTAATGCCATTAAAACT